CAGCAAAGAAACAGTAGCGAAAGAAGACAGGAGAAGACAGCGAGACAGGGAGAGAGGACGGAAAGAGCGCAGTTTTGGATATGATGCGAGTATGGAGCCCAGGCTGCGGTAGCGCCGACGACGCAATGACGGATGGGCGACGAGGATCGGCCTGGAGCTATATCGGGAGATGGAGGACCGTTCTGGGCCGCCCGCGTCAGGGCAATGGTTCATACGGAGCGAGAAGGACGAGAAAGTGAAGAATTAGAGTGCCGCACGAAGGCAACGAGAAATAGATGGCATTGTCACAACGATGCGCAGTCACGAATATAACTTAAATGGGTATGTTTGAATCATCTGTGTCGGATTATATTTCGTATTAAAAGTGAAAAACGTTATAGTATAGTTATAACGTTTAATACTCGAGGTTTTTTTCCTGTATACACCAATGCAAGCACTGCACCATACGGTTTTTTTTTGTATTCTCTTATACTTGTTTTAGTTTCAAACGGTGATCATTATGGTTATATTGTCGATGGTATTATACTATTGCGGAGGCGGAAGTAATACGGCCTTTGAACTAAGCGGAACGGCCGACACAAGTTTTTCAGCATAGCTTAATTAACTGACATATATGAATGTATAGCATGTATGTATGTATGTCGGTTTAATGGTTGTTTTAAATGTTACGCGCGTATTTTGTTCACTGATATAATGCTTGTAACCTCTTTTTTATGTGTGGGAAAACCTTCTCGTGAAATTTGTTTAGAAATTTGTGATCGTTTTCTTGTAATTTGTGCTAACCAGTGGCGGTAGTTTCCACTAATTATTGTCCAGACGCCTAAACACATTTCATCAATGTTCATTAAAGAGTTTGATTATAGGACCAAAACATTTTATCAATAATATGAAATCAGTGTTTCTTACGTATTTTGTTGGCTGTTATGAATGTATGATGGATTGATGTATTGATAATTTTTGTTGGCTTGCTACGCATGTGTGGAAGTGACAACGTACCACAATCAAGTGAGCCGTGATTTTTAATGCCCTGCTTGTGCATGGGCCCTCGTGTGCCTGGGATTATGAGAATATAATCCAGATATAACGTGGTTTGCGGTAATGCGTGTCAGTATACCGCATACGCGCACATACGTTACAGACATAAAATACGCCAAGAGTGAGAAGTAATTGCAGGCGATATCAGAATGTTCATAGCCAATGTGTTGAGTTTCTGACGTTGTATTATGATCGAACTTTATACGTTTACTTGTTTTCTACGCCATATGTGTTTCCTTATTGTATTTGTTGATTGTTGTTAATGTTATGTGTGTATTGATTGTTGGGTGTTTAATCGGCAGAAGAGCGTTTCCGCTCGTTGGTTGAGTTAGGAAGTATATTAGGGTAAGTAATTTATTTTTTGGAATTGGTTAGGTTTCAGTTAAAGTGTAGAGGCGGGGATTGAATCGGATGACAGGGTAGTCTTCGTTTTGGGGAATAAGGGAGAATAATGTAACATGTCTATTTTGCACGTGTTACCATGAATAGTCAGCTGGAGCTAGACTCGTAGTTTGTTTTAGCCATAGTCTAGCTGAACAGAGGCGTCGCGCCAACAGAGATGCGCGGCTTACATGTTGATGTATAGGGGAGAATGGTATAGAACGTGGGTTAGGTTAATGACAGATTTAGAGACGGTCATTGCTGAAATGGGGTGGTTGTGGCGATGCACGAAAGTGAACATTCGCAACATGGCAGAACTGACTAGAGAAGGCGCCACGGGCGGTGCGAAGATGGATGCCTCCAGTAATAACAACGAGGATTCTTTCGAAGAACCGTTTTCTAAACTTATAAGAGACTGATCACAGATAGTGTGCGATTATGCAACTCTTATCGTCGTACCATACCATTGCTGTACAATAAAACGTACTATTGCTGTACAATAAACGATACTATTGTTGTACAATAAACGATTTATTTATTGACTCTTTGTGAGAAACACACAGAGTTAATTGCGCAGTCGACTCGTATCAGCTTGCGAGCCAAGTCAAGACTCACACGTCAAGACCCGAAGTTGCTACGGACCTACAAGAATAGTCTGAAACGGCGGAGCGGAACTGATCACAGCTGCTGCGGGACCAGATGGCGGAATTGAGGGAGCGTTCGGACGTGAACAGAAGGACATTCGTCGTCAACATCAAGAACAGATGGGACGCGACAAAGCACTTTACAGCAACGTCCCCAACGTCACGTCACTAGTGGGTTCCTCTACACCTGCTTTTGCCCCCTTTGACTCCACGTCGGAGCTGTGGACTGACTATTGGGCCAGATTTTGCACCTTCGTCGGGGGCCAATTCCGTTCCTGATGAGCGAAAGGGGCAAGTATCCTCACCAACCAGTCGCCACGGTCTACAAACTTCTGGCCAATCTCGCCGCCACAGCTATACCCGCCCAAGACATCAACCAGTTACCGTTGACGCAGATCGTTACCTACATGAAGGACCATTTGATCCGAAACGATTCATCGTCCGGAACGATTCAGTTCTGGAGCGAAAACTGCAGCGAGAAACCAGGCGAAGACCATACAGGAACTAGCTGCTCGGATACGCCTAAGACGCAGCTACCTGCGAATTTCACGTCGATCAAGGACCCCCAGGATGAAGCCCTCCGGACCCGATTCATCTGTTCGCGTCAGCAACGGGCAGTTCCTAAAGGCCCTCTTCAAGATCAAAGGCGATGAATTGGATTTGCCCGGGCAGTGAACATTGCTATCGAGACTGAGGATGCGCCGCCGCGTCGCCAAGGAGACAGTCTACGGTGCGAAGTCCAACGCCGTGAACAGGTCAAGGCACAAGCACCCTTCCAGAAAAGCTCAGTCGCCAAAGAAGGGGTGCCAAACCGAAGTTTAAGTGCTACCGCTGTGGCAAGGACAACCACCCTAGCCAATGATTGTGTCGCCTTCAAGAACGCATCTGCAACTTTTGCAAGAAGCAGGGTCACATCGAACCGCCTGCATGCAGAAGCCAGGGATGCAGACACCCTGTGAAGCAGATTACCCATGAGCTGGTTAACATGGTAATGGCTGACGACGATTCAATGCCCAGCTGAAGTGCCGATCGAACTCCAGGGATCAAACCACGTCGTTGAGATCGACACTGCGACGAATGGAACTTCGTCACAGAAATTTCTGGAGAAGCTGGGCAACCAAAGCTGGAGAAGCCGAAGTGGCGATATCGAGTCGGCTAGCAAGCACGGACCTGCCAGTTTTGGGTACATTCACCGGAACTACACCGTTACCGGGATCAGGATTCAAGCACGACATCGCTACATCGTCTCCACGGTTCCAGACCTAAACCTGCTAGGAAGAGGCAGCAACGGATCGATTGGGAATCTTCGGTCGATAACGCAATGCAGTCGGCAAAACGCGAGTCAACGCTGTCTTCGACGACCTCCGACGACAACGGCTTCAGGCGGCGCCTGTCGAAAGCTATGCGACCAGTACCCAGACCTGTGGAAAGACGAACTCGGGTGCCTAAAGCGATTTTGAACTCGAGGTCAAATTCAAACCAGATGCGCACGCGATCTTCAGAAAACGAGGTCGGTTCCATTTGCGCTTCAGGAGGACCTGGGCAAAGCCTACGATGATGGTATCAAAAGAGGAGTCTGGAAGCCTGTGCAATTCTGCGACTACGGCACACCGTGGTTCCAGTCCGAAAGCGCATCACCGCCGGAAACCGAAGCCCAAATACGGGGTATGCGGCGATTATTCGGTGAACGTCAATCCCCAGCTGGAAACACATGCGTCCATCCGATGCCTCTCCCAGACGACTGATGCGGAAACTGGAGGAGGATATGGCTTCACGAAGATTGACTCCGCAGATGGCCTACAATCAGGTTCAACTAGCACGCCTAGCAGTCAAAGACGGCTAGCTCTGAACACTCACCGGGGAGCTGCCTGCTCAACTTCGATTACCGCTTCGGGATAAAGTCAGCCCCCGGTTACTTCAGGAGATTATGGAGCAGCTGACAAGGTGACCTCCAGGGCGTTGCAGTTTACCATGGACGACATAACTGGTCAGCGGCAAGGACGCCAAACGACCACGTGGAGAATCTCCAGCGCCCCTCCTGCAACGATCTACAACGACGGACTCCGATGTCAGGCTGGAGTGCCACTTGCACAACCAGCCGTGGACGCCTTGGACATCGGCTATCACCGCACAGGAATGGAATTGCGAAGGGTCGAAAGTGGATGCCGTCCGCCAAATGCGGAACGCGACTAACGTGTCAGGTCTCCGATCCTTCCTGGGTTCGTCCAGTTCTACGGAAATTCCTAGCGAACCTGTCAGATGGTAGCCGAGCCTTGCACCGCCTAACAAGAAAGACGTACCTTGGCACTGGGGCAGCGAGGAGAAGAAAGCGTTCAGACGCTGAAGGACATGCTTACGGCAGACGACGTTCTAGCCACTATAATCCTTCGTTACCGCTGGGCATTGCTACAGACGCATCTTCTCTTTCAACGTCAGGGTAATCCCCAGAGGACCGACGTGGCGCCGACACGTGGAACAGTTACGCCCTCGGTATACGTCCGACGAAGACTACGAGCCGGGAGAGAAACCACGTCCCAGGACACAGAACATTGCTCCGGACTCTCCAACGGATGCCCCTGTGGATCCAGCCTTCCAGGAAACCCCGATTCAGCAACCAGTGCCGAGAGGGAAGAAGCTAAGGATACCAGCTGAGGAACCATCCCACGGACCGGAAAATCTGCGACGATCGAAACGTGCGTCAAAGCCACCCAAACGTCTAATCTGCCAGCAGCTACGCCTTCGAGGAGAACTCTCAGGCTCGGCGGGGAGGTGTTGTGGCGATGCACGAAAGTGAACATTCGCGAACATGGCAGAACTGACTAGAGATGGCGCTACGGGCGGTGCGAAGATGGATGCCTCCAGTAATAACAACGAGGATTCTTTCGAAGAACCGTTTTCTAAACTTATAAAGACTGATCACAGATAGTGTGCGATTATGCAACTCTTATCGTCGTACCATACCATTGCTGTACCATAAACGATACTATTGCTGTACAATAAACGATACTATTGTTGTACAATAAACGATTTATTTATTGACTCTTTGTGAGAAACACAACAGGGGGGTAGGACGCGGTCTGTGAGAACGGGTACATGTGCATAGTGCATGTGGTTTGTAAGAGTTTTGGGGGAATATAGAGAGAGGATGTAAGAGGAAAAAGGATTCTGGTTCTGGGCGCGGAGGTGAGCACACGCGCGTATGCGCGTGTGCGCGTTCTTTGTCTCTTTGTGCGATTGTGAAAGTTGTACTACACTGTACAAGTTATTAAAGATTATTCCGGTTACTACAACAAGTTTGGCTTGATAGCATCATTCCTGTTTACACTGCTAGGTGCAGTAGGATGCGGGTACCTCCTCATGTGTGCATGGTGCAAGACCTGAGATATCTCGGGGCTGAGTATAGAGGACGTCAGCATGATTGATGCTGATTATTTATTTGTCAGTATAAACAACTGTCACACTAGATGCCAAAAAGTAGAACAGCTCAGCCTTGTTGTCGTTGATTTCAGAAACTCCGGCCAGTTTCCAGGAATGGCACTGGATGGCTCAACGTGTCTACGAACTCCCTCCCTTCTCTTGCTGCGTTTTTCGGCTTTCAGACTTTCAGGGAGATATTCATTCCATTTCCACACGACATCCACTCTACTGACATGCTGCAGCTGAGACAGACTGGATTCCTTGACCCCGATAATGTTTGTTTAGGCTCCAAGATCATGTTTCTATGTTGAATATTAGCTGAAAATAAAGGATAATGGATTTGAATAGTGGCCATCTTGGAAAATGGCCGTCATTGTTGCCATGGAACAAATATGCGATGGCCCTATAGCCAAAAATCTTCCTTAGAGCATGCTCTAACCGTGTGCCAAAGCTCATGCTTGTATAATAAATCACAATTCCCTCAAATATTGCACATATCTGCCGGGCTAATAAACATTTTGGTATCTTTGAAATGTGAAAGCTGACTATTATGCCTTCATGGGAGCACTCACAATGAATCGACAAACACAGGAATTTGGTAATGAACGGCTTTATTACGAGACGCCGGCTAACTCACGTCTGCTCACATCAATGTCGGCCAAGCACGAGAACGAGAGGGCGCGCGCCTCGCACATGCGGCAACACCGCGCCACCTTCCGACACTAGTCCGAAACTATGCCGCCGTCACAGAAATAACTCTTTGGGCAACTTTCGGTTATGTGATATGTTTGGTTCTATCGTTGTGTTGCATTTTAATTGAAACAATTTTTGACTAAGGATCACGTTATTTTAAATATTGTATATATTTTTAAAGATGATTTTAGTTGTACTACTGATATCATTTTATGATATCTATATGTCTTACCATAGGACATATGTTATTGTAAATATCATCATTGTCAGTTTTATACTGCCTGATGATATCGTGTTTGCAAAATTTATTTTAATTGTAACGTTGTTAATGCTAGTTTTGCAATAAACCTATTATCTATCTATCCATCTAATAATAAAATAATGGTAAATAAACACGAAATGTATGTACTACCAGTCTTAATGATTCTCTCTTTCGCAAAATATTAGTAATAACTTTCTGTAAATGCCGTACAAATGCTCCTCTGCAACACACATGTACACCGCATGCGCGCCGTTGTGCACAAACAACAAGAATATAAAGAATCTATATTTGTGTATGCCATGTCAAGCGCAGGTTTTGCGATGCGGTTGTTATATATTCTATATATCTTTGACGATACCGTGTACGCACCTGCCACCAGTGATATGCCAGCTTGCAGCGATCCTATGAGGGCGATCTCACTTGTCTCTTTTTGCAGAACATCGGCGAAACAAGATGCCGTAATGCTGAGAATGAGGGCGTTGACGCACGAACCGGCCAGCACCACCCACGCCCAGCAGTGGTCGGTGTGTGACAGATCTTTTCTCTCCCTGCTCCCCGCGCTATGGACGGTTTGCACGTTTGTCGCGCTTTCTTGCTGGGCGGTCGCGGTACCGTGGCCGGTCTCTCCTCTCTCTCCGCAACTCTCGCTCCCTTCGCAACTCTCTCCTTCAACTTCTTCAACCATTATTTCTTCCTTCTCCTGCCCGCCTTTGCGTCGCTGGCTCCTGCATAGGCAGGTTTATGCGTGCGTGGTGGTCTGGAACGGTGCTGGTCGATGCTGTGTTAACAGATGTCGTCGTAGCCCGCATGCCTTCCCCGGTCACCCCCCTTAGCCTGGTTCTCGACGAACCGCCAGCCGCTCCTTTACTTGTGTCCTCTCCCATCATACGTCTGTCGCTCGAAACTCGTCGCGATGTTGTCACCGTTGATCGTCGAAGTGTTGCTGCATTTGGCCGCTTGCTGATTTAACCTGTTGGGATACGTCGTTGCGACGGCGAGCCACAGACTAACGAATCTGTGGGCGAGCCTTGGGGATGAGCACGTGAGCGACGGTGGCGCGCTCTACATGCTCGCGGTGGCTACGAGCTGTGATAACATCGCGCTGTCAGATCGCCACCCCGTTATTTTTGTGACTAGTCGGAGCTACTCAGTGCAGTGGCGTAGACAGGTCCTCAGTTGTGGAGGAATGATTTCGCTGTTACTTCCATCGCAATGTGTGCGCGAGTAGCGCACACCGCGAGTGCCTTGGCCCAAAGCGCTTAATGAGTGGGGTCCAGGGGCACGCTCTAGGGCCCCTGGCAGGGTACAGGGGCAGAGCCCTTGCCCGGGGTCCAGGGGGCGGAGCCCCCGGAAACTCTTGGATTTTAGCAATTTAGAACCTTCAAGATGGCCGTTTTTGAGGGAATTAAAAAAGTAAGTGTATTGATATTGTAAGTGCAATTTTGTTAATTATAGGGTAATTTTTTTCTTTGGATCCCAGAGGTTTAATAACACGCAAGCCCCCCTCCTCCCGCCACACAACCAGTGCGGATCCAGAAGAAATTCTAGGGGGGGGGGAGAATCATGCGAGCTCAAGGGCACGAAGCGCCCGGGGGGGGTGTTGGAGGGGGTGTCCCTTTTGCCGTAAAAATTCTAGAGGCCGACCGCCCCGTGCTACTCACCCCCCGTTGACAACTACAGCACTGGAATCATCTCCCCCTGAAATTTTTATAAAATAAATATCATGTATGTTTTACTGAGAACGTTAAAACTGCAAAAAAATATGAGAAAAACAACCAGATTTGAACCAAAAAGTGCATATTTTCACCCCTTATACAAATCGGGAATATACTTCCGGTCGAGTCTCACCACCCCCATTCCCCACCCCAAAGTGAGATGAAATTGAATTTTCCCATTCAATCTCCGTGAAAACTCAATATCCTAACTCTCAATAGGTCTATTCAAATTTTGAATAAAGCAAGGATTAGACCCCAAAGGAATTTTGAAAAAAAAATTGTATATGGGGAATGCGTCCAAAATTTACCGTCTGAGTTTCAGTAAATAATGTCATTCTTAGAGCGAGTTACAGCATTTACAGTAGATGTATGTCACGTTCCATTTTGGTAATAATACATTAGGAGAGTATAAATAGCGATGACGGATTTGTAGATAAATATCCAGTATTTATTGTCTGTAAAATATGATTTTTTCTCCTATTTCTTCCTGAAAGTAGGGGGATGAACGCCACCCTACCTAAATAAGTGTGGGTGATATACCCCCATTCCCTGCTATCTACGCCCTGGCAGGTGAACTCAAATTTGACTTTTGATATGCATACAAATATTCATTATCATAATATTTGTTAGCAGTACTCTACAGGCGCCGCGGAACGATTTTTGAAGTGGGGGGCTCAATTTGTTACGCTCGACAGTGGCCAATGAAGATGTGGATCGATGTGATGTGATGTGATGTAATGTGATGTGATGTGATGTGTGTGTGTGTGGATGTGATGTGGTTTTCGAGGAAGGTGGTAAGAAACAGGCGGGGGTATGCGGGTCCTCCCCAGAAAATTTTGAATCCCCCATTTTCCTCCGGAAAGTAGGGGGGGGATGATTGTACACACCATCTCCCCCACGTCAATAAGTGGGGGATGCATTCCCCCCCTCCCTCCGCTATCTACGCCCAGTGTAATCTTGATCCTTTCGGCCATGTTGACGAAATGCGCCAGTGCAATTCAACCCTTAACCTTCACTCTAGCAGCGATAGGGGCGGTGGTACGCAGTGAGAAATTGGTAAACATTGACACGCGTTTTCTTCAGGATAGATTCCTTCAAGGTTGCTGCCAGCGTGAGAGAGCCAGACATGCTAACGACACATTGATGGTTTAGAGTGGCATGCCCGCCCGCTTGCCCACATATCTCTACTTGGCGACATTTTACCCACGCCGTACGCGTAACTCGCTCGCTCACGGTGCAGTCCCTCGGACAGGTGGCGCCACCGATGTTCGAGCATTTCTATGTATATTAGCATAGCTGGATAATTGTGGAGCGATGCTGCAAGCAAAGTAAATTTTCTAGGTTGGATTTTACCATGCTCACGTGCCGCGGGCCCACCCCTGTCCAGTTTTGACCGTTTGCATGGGATCGGCCGAAGAAAATTATCCTGGCTGTCCACGGCGACGAGTGATCATGACGCGAGCGCCATTCCTATGTACCTCAGCATAGCTGCTGGAGAATTGTGACACGATGTTGCGATCCACACTGTCGGCGACCTGACGCCCAAAGGGACTGACGTAGGGCCAACGTTAAGCATTTAATCTGGTATGCCTACAGAAGGTGTGCATCGAAAATTGCACCCTCGCTACTTCAATGTAGTGGCACTACGCTGTGGAAGGTCCCTTGCTATACCAATGTACAGGAATAGAGCGCAAACAAGTCGGTGACCTGTCGCCAAAAGGAAATAACGTAGGGCCGACGTTGAGCATTCAATCTAGAGTGTGGCATGCCAAAAGGTGCACATCGAAAAATTCACTCTCGCTATTTTAACGTGGTGGCACTGCTCTGCCGAAGTTCCCTGTCTATAGAGGGTTCCGCAACTTAGTCTAAAAATAGCAATATTACCTACAATCCCGTGCCGCCGGCCATCCCGTTACAAATAGAGCGAACACGCGTCGCGTATAATGTGCCACTCTGCACAATCAACCGATTTTACATTGGCTATAGTGTTATTATTGCAATAGACATTAGAAGTAAGAGGATCCCGATTTACCAGACAGGTTTATCAGCGTGGGTTTTAGGTGCTACAGTTCAATGAGGCTGCCATACAGTCGGGAGATTCGTAGATTGAGCAGATCAAAAGATTGCACGCAACACATATTATGTTCATAGACTTGAGTTTGTTTACATCGTGAGAGTTCAGAAATTTCACCGATTTTACTGCATCTACCATAGCTATCAAACGCAGTTTTTTTAATAATAGCTAGTGTATGCACGTTTGTAGACTGTCTGTAGTGTACGTAGTGTGGACAAATACTTTGATTCACTAGACAACGTAGCCAAAGCACGCTATCTCGAGAAAAATGCGTGCATTGGGAATCGACACCCGTACGAGAATGGAGCGAGGACCACAACTTGTGCCCATCACGTACTTATTAGGATCTCGTGAATTGACTACCTAATATTCTAGCCGAGTCAATTTTATACTCTCAAGGACTTTCAGAACCACAAAAGCCTGGATGCCTACGATAGACTGTTCTGCGGTTGGGTTAGTGGTGTATATCGGTGAACAGTGAGAGTCCCATCTACGCTATCCGAGCACGTGTTATGCACTCCCAGTCTCTGATTATACCGGCCATCTCTCTATCCGTACATGGATCACGATGCGATAAATTGGACAGGCATCATGTCAGCACACTGTAATTGTAAAGCCGGGCTTGGTGAATTCTGTTCACATGTTGCCTCGGTGCTATTTTATGTAGAGTATGCTACACGTGCAAGACCCCACCCCACTCAAATAGCTGCCTACTGGATGCCGGCGATATATGTATATAAGCGTAAATGTGTAGCGGCGTGCGCCGTGCGTGCGGTGTCCCTGTGTGTTGCAGAGGAGCATTTGACCGGCATTTACAGGTAATTATCGGCAATACTATGCGAAAGAGAGTAGAGAAACATTAAGACATTGGTAGTAAATACATTTCGTGTTTATTCAGCATTGCTTTTTTATTGAAATTGCTCCAAGCGTCTGTGTTCCGCCTGGTCTCTCGTCACTTTACCTTGTGCTGTGATCACGCTAGGCAGCCAAAAAAAAAGCTGTGTGGCTCTCTCTGATACCGATTGCTGCAGTTGACAACACCGCAGGAGAGCGGCGTTGTGATGCATTTTGCATGAGCAGAGGTGCGTTGCTCAATGTACTTGTACCATGCCTGAACTGGTTTCTGTATCCGTCATGGCCGGCGGCGTTGCATTGTGGGTAATATGAAAAATCGCGGAACCCTCTATACAAATATTCAGGGATAGGGCCGGGACACCTCGGCGACCTGTTGCCCAAACCAAATGACTTAGCGCCGACATTAAGCATTTAATTTAGAGCGTGGTATGCCTAGAGAAGGTGCATCGAAAAATCCACCCTCGCTGCTTCAACGTGGTGGCACTGCTCTGCCGAAGGTCCCTGGCTATACAAATATAGAAGGGCATGGCGCGGACACGTCGACGACCTGTCGCCCATAGGATATGACGTAGGGCCGACGTTAAGTATTTAATCTGGAGTGTGGCATGCTTACAGAATGTGCGCATTGCAAATTTCACGCTTGCTAACTACTTCAATGTGCTGGCACTGCTCTGCGGAACGTCTTGCTATACCAATGTACAGAGATAGGGCGCGGACATGTGGGCGACATATCGTCCAAAAGAAATGACGTAGGGCCGACGTTAAGCATTTAATCTGGAGTGTGGCATATGCCTACAGAATGTGCGCGTCGCACATTGCATCCTCGCAATATATATATATATATATAAATATATATATATATATATATTTCTTGATAATGACTACGTCAGATTGGCATAAGACCACCTTATACGTCTATAATGCATCTCCCTTACGTGTACAATGCAGATTAGTGCATTTTAATGTCATATGCTATTACGAGAAAATAAACATATCGGCCCTTTCCCAGAGACGAAGTAATACCTCGGCGAACGAGTGGCGGTCGCGGGCTTTAAAGTGATTACGTCACCGTAAATAGTAAAAAATAAAAAAAAATATTTCTTATTTTCACAAAATATAAGTAATTCTGTTCACTTTTTATAGTTAAATTGCTGCATTATACTTCTTATTTTACTATATTCTTCGATGTGAACATACACTCGTGACGCATACATAGCCCATAGCAAGCAATTAATGTTAGGAACACTAATATCAAATCGTCCAGGTTTTTTAGATTTTTAACTAGTTGAGAAACAATCTTATCAGGTAAGAATTTAACGATATGTTAGTTCTTACTTTTAATGTTAAAAAGAATGGGCAACAAAAAATTTTACAAATTTTACCATAGAAAATTCGTGACGTAGTCAATTTAATTCCTTCGCAGAAACCAACGCGGTTAATTTGACTTTCAGTATTGATTCACTACATCTGTCCCTTGCCTCACACCGCTGCTATTTACATTTTTCAGTTTCATAGTAATAGGAGATACTTTTCAAGCAATTTCTCCGTAATGTGAACCAATGGCAGCAATACGTTGATAAAATCAACAACATATTATATGATCACTTTTCCAAATATACCAGCCTTTTTATTTCGATAAATTCGCTAAATACACGTCATGTGTTACGTCATGTTCCCATCATGTCGAAGTAAAAATTAGAAGATTTTTGTGAGCCCGCGCTACTGCCGTGCCAATATGTTGACGTATTTTTAGATGAAATTTACCTCCGCGAACCTTATGATAAAATATGGATATACATTGCTAGGTAAAGTTCTAGATTCTTAAATATATATAATACAGTATATTAATATACATATATATAATTTATATATATATATATATATATATATATATATATATATATATATAATATGTTCGCACTATTCCTGGCGCTTCCGATTGTCTGCTTTCCATAATTCGAACCCTTCGTTCACGACATCGTAGCATCTTAACTCGCGTTTCAACTGATCCACCCACAACGATACATTCTCGAATTGGTCGATGCTAAAGTTGCCGAAACATTCCAGAAACGTCACGCTGCTCAAGACGCATATGTCGGCGAGGGTCACGTGGTCGGAAACAAGATACTTGCGTTCGCTTAGCATCCTGTCCACGTGCCGCAGTTGCGCGAGAACTGCTTCTTCTGCGTCGGCAGCCGGTGTTTTTCCAAACAACTGCGGTTTCTGTCGTATGTGAAGAAAAAACAATAGTAACAAAATCCACTGCTTCGTCACTGGTCTGTATTAGAAAATTCCATGTATAGCTTTTCATCATCACAACGCATATATATACGTACCCCGTTATCCTGCAGTCGAACTACACGAGCAACTGCATTAATCGCCTTTAGAATAGCGTAGAGTGAATAAGCACCTACACCGCATGTGCACCCCGAACACACGTACACACCTGTAATGCTTTTATGGCCGGCCATAGATCAGCGACATCAAACTGCAGGGCGCTGTCTACTCGGGTGCGCTGGCGTGGGTCTTTAGGGTACAGGTTGTCGTCTTTGCCGTAACGGTTGGCGAGGTATGTGACTATGGCGCGACTGTTAACATGCAAATATACATTAGCGGATAACGGCGCGCATATATTAATATTATAGCAACGATCGCTAACGAAGGTGAAAAGGAATGAAGAAACGATTTAGAACACGATTTGACAACACCGAGTATTTGGTTTGGACAGAAGCTCTTAGACGTTCAATGTCCTAATGAATCTAGTTGTTTGCAAAATCATACGCAAAACGAACTGTGGTGTGACGAAAGTCGAAATTGCCCATCGTGCATTAAGTTCCCTACCTTTCACACACGATGAAACCCTCGTCGACAAGAGACGGCAGTGTTCCAAAGGGATTGATCTATTCAACAATTAAAATAATCACTTATTATATACACTTTTATATGAATTATTTCTAACAACTATCGGTCGTGATTCAGCTATGTAACCTAAGAGAGGTGTGCCAGTATGGCGGACGCATGACCGCAACCGGCCCAGTCTACCCGTACTCGTGCAAATCTTTCATCGTTTCATCAAGCATTTTCTCACAGATTTCGCATTCGCTCATGGATCTTTGTACACCGATGCAGTGGCCCCACTTACGCGAAGAAACTCCTCCGTTTTGTGCTCGCCTTTGAACAAGTCCACGTGACGTAGCTCGTGAGGCACTCCAAGCTCCTTAGCAACCATCATGACGTTCCGAGACGGCGGGCTTATCGGATGATAATAGATTTTGATGACGTCATTCTCGGACGGCGAACTAGCCGGGGACCTGTAGGCACGCGCCGTCCCCTGAATGCCATTCCTAACGTTGGCTGTCCGATATATGTCGACAGGGCGTGACATGGCGGATGTCTGATCGATTATCAATAAAATCTATAAAAAAACGATCGTGAAATTATTGATTGGTATGGAGAGTTTGTCGCCTTTGTAAATAATTCTTTCCTCACTTGATGCAAACTACGAGAAATTAAAATATGCGCGCCGATTTCAACTGACACAGGCCTATTTGTCGTCAAATATGGACGATAATGAAGAGATATAACAGGAAATATATAGCTGTTATCCCACAAACTTGGCAAATGCGTGGGTTTTGCTTTCATTGTAAACTTTACAGCACTCCCCGTTAGGGAGCGTGTAGGGTCAAGTTTACCTTCATTTAGATCTTAAAATTAATTTGTGACGTCTCTTGTATAGAAAATATGCAGAATTTTGCAGATGAAATTATTGAGAATGCAAGTTTTATCAAAGAGATGCTAGTTTTATCATCTTAAATTATAAAAAATTTTGCTTTATATTAATTTTCCATTTTATCGTTCCTATTGAAGGTCCTATTGAAGGTCAAGGCTCACGAAACACATGGCTACATTTTTTCTCGAGAAAATATGCAGGGCGGAATTCACAGATTTGTAGCCACAAACCCATTTCTTACGAGTTCTGTGAGATATAATGTACAGCTAGCAGCACCAAATTGCATCACTACACCAATACACCAATGAATTGTATAGTACGAGCAAAGTTCGAGCGCGCGCGCGCGCGACACACACACACACACACACACACACACACACACACACACACACACACACACACACACACACACACACACACACACACACACACACACACACACACCACACACACACACACACACACACACACACACACACACACACACACACACA